CTGATGTCCCTCTGGCCAGGGCAACCAACACATGCATAAATAAGTGGAACAACAAATCGGTGTTTCTCTCTCTCAAAAATCAATAAATAAAAAATAATAATCACAGTAATAGGTACTCCTATTTTGTAGAATAGAAAAATGGCTCTAAGTCTGCATTCATCTGGAATTAAGGTAACTATTTCTGTGAATTCCCACATTTGAGAACATGCAATTCTAATGCAGGGCACCCTCTGCCAATGTTTCCAAAAAAAACTACGTGCACATGTCATTGTTTGTAGCTGTCTATACTGTTCATAACCCATTCCTTCCTTCCTTTCACTCTCCGTTCTGTTCCGGCCATGAGCACAGGTTACTACAACGGCACGTTGTACACGTTGGCCTAGGGCGTCTTCTCTCGCTGGGGGCCTCAGTCGAAGCTGGCAGTTTCTCAAGTCATCTGGTAAGTGGCCAAAGCAGGATACACAAAGGGGGTAGATATGCTCTTTCCAAGATGTGCCAAGTATTAGGCCTCTTACAGATTCTTCCTGGTGCAGGGCCAAAAGCACAGCAAGTTGTTTTTCTCTTGGGCGGGGCTATCTTGACATCTCCCCAGGGCACACTGAGTGTTACTGCAGGATCTGACATCAAGGTGGTCTGGTCTTCCCTTCATTCAAGGGGAGCTGATAGTGTAAACAATTAGGTCAGGGAATTGGCAAGGGACTGAACCATGACTTGTTCTTTTCATGGCTTAAATAAGACCTCTGTTCACTAGATCTGGAGGGGTTTTTATGTTTTATATGATGTGGTGGTTGCTCCACTCCCAATTTTTAACTAGGGAACTCATTCATAATCAAGTAGGTGCAGCCAGAGAGCTCTTCCAGACAGGTCGGATAGCTGATCGTGCCAGTCCCACTGCCTATTATGGTCATGTCTTGTCTCTGTGACCCCCATGGTTCTGCTCACTTACAGTGAAGTACTTCATACCAGCATTTTTGTCCTAGAGAAAAACAGCTGTTCTAAACAGATGCAGTAAGTTTATATCTGTACCCTTCTATACATATATATTTCAAGTATTCATCTAGACCCTCTAGACTTGGCTATTTCTATAATTTCTAAAGTAAGATATTCCTAATATTCTATCACCCAACTTTCTTTGATTAATGAATGCATTTTTAAGTGTGTGTCTGTTTATATGTGTTAACAAAGACAAAAAACAAACAATCAGACCAGGACTGTCTGGATCAACCCAGCTAGTCTGTTTCATACAGAATCTCTGATACATGAACCACACTGACAAACTGATAAAACTTAAATCATGCTGTGTTCATTTTCCTTAGTCTAGCATCCGTGAAATCTATTCCCACATACATGTCCCACATTATGTTCTTGCCTACCATTCTTCTGTTGCGTTCTTTCCAAGGCTGATTTTGGACTCTCGGCCCTAGGGACGCTCCGGGGTATAATTCTAATAATTGGTCTATGGATGAACAGATATGGAGCAGGAGGAAAATTGCTGGCTTCTTTCTCAATGGGAACTCTCTCAGGTGAAGGTATACAGGCATCTACAAGCATGGAAGGAAATAGCTTTTCAGACAATGAAGGAAGAAGGACCATTCTCTGTCAAGAAAGACTCAGGAAGGATTTAGAGGAATTTGACGATTCAAATTACTCTGCTGCCTCTAGTTTACTTTTTCCAAATGGGTGCTCAAAGTTGCATGTACAAAATCTAGCAAAATTCTGGTAGTAGTCCCTGGTGCTGCCCACCCACGATCTCCAGTTCTCAAACTAGGCACAATTGTATTTTCTTGTGCCTTTGAAGTTATAAAAGGCCAGATGATTTGCTTTGACCAAAAATATGTGAGCAGAAGAGCCATCTCTCACTTCCCTTCAGAAGCTTTAGAAGCCATTTCAGAAGTTGCCACATTTTCTTTCCTTCCCTCTGCCCCAGTCCCCAGCGATGGATGTTCAGAGAGTGGCTGCTGCGTCAGCCTGCATCCTGGAGTGAGGGTGATGTGCAGCAGAACCGCCAACCCCCTACAGTAGATATGTAGTACGAGTGAGAAATAAACCCCCTATTGTTTTAAGCCACTGATGTTGACACAATATAATCCAGCCTACCCTGATCCATACACAACTCTGAATTCAACTGGTAGATGAACACCGAGTTTGATTCCTGGCTGTCTCAATCTAATATGTACAAGATAGAGGACATTCTTTGAGCACATTCGTATAAAGTACCTGAGCTTACATCCATTCTTTTAAAACTGAAAATTCAATATTTTGAGTCTATAATTCCTTTGCTTTTATTCACCCAATGCTATCGGGAGCCCCCCTACCCTGCCGTCCTTGGGCTACTCACACCCTTCATATTATTGCATGTAGAAACTACTCCAAGTCCTCAAACTGTATCTTTTATTGAGATATGTTTTTACAGATGACCATAGGTGACAACTTCATTAACTGCTTCATCAGCAGGCTCCGTACTTAGGGAAGGGTGACATGTCTCAAGATTCCCCATCATGTTTCTTGGTTGAAAGTAGCAGACACTGACTCTGCCTGCCTTTTTTAAAAGGGGGAGTTTATTGGAAGGATATTGGGATCTCAACATAGAAGACACTAAGTTAGGGGACCATACTAGGCAATGAAAGAAGCAGAGGGAGCTCTGGAAGAGAAGAAATGAAGAAGCAGGAGGAAAGAACTACCCCACAGCTGGAGCAGCTGTTGCTGCCATGAAAGACCTCTGGTGGCTCTGTCTGTCCACACACCACTTGCCCAGACTTCAGAATCCTGGGAGGAAATTTCCGTTTAGCAGAGCTTAGATCACACTCACCTACTAGCAGTTCCAGAGAGTGGGAGAGGAATGGTGTGAACCTTCAAAGTTTCATTATTAGATGCATAGACCTGAAGTTCTCTCCCAACGTGGTTTCACACCATGAGAAGACAGGTGAGTCCTCAAGGAAATAAGGTCCTACTCAAGGAGAAGAATTAATGCTAGTCAACAATGATACCAAAAAAGATAGCTGTCCACCAAGGACGTGAAAAAAAGAGAATAATATGGACCTTAATAAAAGAAAGGTTTGTGGCTTCATCATGTCATTAGGTTACTGTAAGAACACAGGAAATATCCACTTATCATATGCATTTTTTTCTTGCAAGGTCACATCATTAAAGGTAATTTGGAATGGTGAATGGTATAGATCTGACTTAAAACCAAAGCATATCATTCACTAAATATTTCAGGGCAAGTTTCTTAGTTTCTTTGAATCTGTGAGACCTTGTAGAGTTGTCTGAAGTGTCTGAATTGACATGTATAGCATGCTTGGCACACGCCCTGCACTATAAATAAACATTAGGACTCACCCATTGTGTATTACACAGGGCTCTTCTCAGAAAAGAACCAATAGGATGTGTCTATATGCACAGAGAGATATATTTTAAGGAATTGGTGATTGTTTTAGGATTAATCACACAATTGCAGAGGCTGGCAAGTCCAGAATCGGCAGGGTGGGCCAGCGTGCTGGAGGCCCAGCGAACAGTCGGTGCTGCAGTGATGCTGCAGCTCCAGCCCCAAGGCCAAGAGGCTGAGGACTCGGGGACAGAGCCCCTGTGTCAGAGTTCAAGTGCAAAGTCTGTCTGCTGCAGAGTTCCCTCTTGCTCAAAAGAAGTCAGTCTTTCGTCCTGTTCAGACCTTTAACTGATTGGACCAGGCTTACTATGCAGGGTAATCTGCTTTACTCAAAGTCCACCAATTTACATGTTAATTTCACCCCAAAACATGCTCATATAAACATTTACAATAATGTGTCACTATATAGGTGGGCACTGTGGTCCAGACAAACTGATATGCAAAATTAACCATCACACCCCAAGAGATGTTATTATTCAAGAAAATAGTCTTCTTTCTTTCTCTGCATTCAATAAAAACTTACTAAGTCTGTTAAAACCCATTGAGGAAGAGGTGCCTGAGGTTGGGACTATGGGGATGACAAAGCAGCAGGTGTGAGGCAGGAAACAACAAGTCCCAGACATGAGGTACTCAAGCTTTAGAAGGGTCTTCCCCCCAGGGAGTCCTTTGCTGTTGCAAGAAAAAGGTATGGTTAGGCCATGAAATAAAATAACATCCGCCAGCATCCACTCCTACCAGCCAATCTGGAACGTGATCAAACATCTGTTGATCATCTGCACGCTCTGGAGTGCCCATTCGTGGGACCACACTGGAACAGCACTTGGCCCCACTGTAGGGCAGGCACGTGGATAAGGATGAGCAAAGTGTTTACTGCCAATATTCCAATGCATGAGGATGGCGTGGATGAGAAACACAATTTCTGCAAAGACCTCTCAGACAATAATTGAATCCAGAAGACTATGAGCTAGACGTAACATGGCACATATTGGGTGATGAATGAATGTTCAAAATCAAGATCCTCATGAACTATACCCCTGACTAAAGGTAGGCAGTGTCCAAAGAAGCTCTTGAATGATTATACTGTGCTACAAGGAGCAAATATGGGCCAAGAAGGAAAAAAATCATTCAGACTTTGTCCAAGAAGGAAGAAACTAAGAAATAAATCTTCTCTTCTTTCATATGATCCAAAAAACACAAGCTCTTATCTGGGGGAAAATGGCTAAGGAAAGCAACAGAACATCCGAGAAATTTGATTATTATTGATATATAGAAATTTGGGCTTAACCACGTCCAATGCTATTATTTGACTACTTTTCATTTTCAAAAATGTCCACTTCTCATGGTTCTGTTTAATACGTGTAAGGTCAAGGTGAAGCCAAGGTACCCTCAGCAAACAGGCAAACCCTTTCCTATAAGTTATGATGTCATCATTCTAAATCCAAGGAAATACAGCTGCTAGTTATGAAAAGGAAGCAGAATTGTAAACTTTAACACTCACAATTCAACATTATAAAATCAAAGCCTTGAGATCAGAAGAATATAGTAAAAATGGTGCCGATACAAAGTATAATATGCATTGTACATATTCATACAATAGAAAGAACTCCCTCTTGAATACTGGAAAAGTGGCTTGGCTAAGCAAGGGCAAGGTTACTATGGGCAAGGGTTGGAGACTGAGGGGAAAAAGTACATGAGTGTGTATGCATCTGTATCATAGAAGTGTCTATGGATGTGTTCAGCAGTGTTATGTGTATGTACATGGGTATGCCGGTAGGTATATATGCATGCACAAGTATAGGTGCGTAAACATAGGCATAGGTATAAGTGTGTATGTGCTAAAATTTTCCAGTCATGGTGTTGACAGTATTAAAAAGAAGAAAAAAACTTAGGCCTTGCCATCTTATTACCTAGGTGCTGTCTTAACAAGGTATATGTAAGGTAATCTTTTACGGTCATGATATGAATGAGATTCCAAAGAAGAAAAAGTTTAGGCCATATTACCTCCTTCCCCCCGTTAGCATAGGCAGTCCTAGGCACTGCCCTAAGGTCTCCCGTGGACACACAAGGAAGGCGGTTGCTGGATTGAGTTTGAACCTTTTCCTCCTTTTCACTTCCTCTTGGATATTTCTTCACTCCTTCTTTTCCTTTCTTCCTGTCAAGAAGTAGGGAGTAAGGACAGCCTTTCCCATGGGAGACACTGGCAGCCCTCGGGGGAGAAGCTGCTCCCGCCCCTCCGGTAACTAATGATGTTTGCGTATCTCCCGGCCTGGGACGTCTTCTTCTGCAAACGGATTCACTGGCCCCTCACCACGCAGGAGACCGGATGAGATTCACCCAGTACACTGCTTTATGAGTTCTGTTCTGTTTTGTGTTTTCCCACACAGCTTTCATCTTTTCTCAGTTGTATATGCTCCTCTTAAGTAAGAAGGCTAATATGTGAATTGTTAAATTAATCAAGCGGAGAGAGGAATAAGTCATTCTACAAAGCCTAACAGATTTACTCTAAGGAATTCTTAGGAACTGCATCATGTTTCTCCAAAGCAGTATTATCTAAGCCTATTACTTCACAATGATCCTTTAAGTTTTGTAAAGGTCATTCACAGACTGAAAGATTAGATTCAGGAAATTAAAAGACAGCCGAAACCCAAGAAAATATCCTGTTTTAGAAGCAGTACAAAGAAAAAATGCATAATACTAGTACTGGACTACAATCCCCGGATTATGAGTTGATTACCACCTTAATCACCTCATTTTCCATTTAGACTGCTAGGGAGTATTTCACAAAATTTGAATTAATTCAAGGCATAACAAGTTCATAAAAGGCAAACTTGTTTGAACTTAAGTATTTAGCATCTACCCTGTGCCAACACTGTGAGAGAAATAAAATCAGTGTAAGAGAGCAAATTTCTAGGGAGTTGAAGATGTTTTCTGGGAAGAGGAGTTTCCAGTTTTGGTAGTGGCCCTATGAGGGCTTGGTTCACAAGGTTCCACCGAAGCTAGACATTCCAGCATGCTTGACTCACGGCTGTTGAGACTGCTTGAAGAATACTCATATCAGGAGCATGAACACACCTGTGAAAGTAGCAAAAGAAGTAGCCATCAAAGAACTTGTGGACCCCTGCGTGGGTTCTGCAAATATTGAAAAAAAGACAACCACCTTGAGTTCAGGGAGGAGTGCACACACATGAGTATTGTGTCAGCCGGTTTGTCTCAAGACACAGGTGTTGCAATCCCCAGTTTGCTCCTGCAACTCACCTTCCTATGGCCATCAAGACTGTGGATCCTGGAAGACTTAGCTCACGCCATCTCCTTGGAAGTCAGTTTTCTTTGGCATAACTAGGCTGGCAGTACTTGATTTTTACTAGATCATTTCCCGCTCCCCGCCCCTCATCCCACAGGTTCCCATCCCAGCATATGATTCTATTTGAATGGACATGAATTCTTGGAAATTTGACACCAGAGACAAAGAAACAGAGGTGGACTGATCATCAACACAACTGAATTGCCCTCCTTGACTAATGGAATAAAGCAAACTAAAGATCGGGCTCTGATCCTGCATGTAGAGAAGAAGAAATGTACATACATATGAATTAAGCATAAGAAATGTGATTTAAGCACAAACTAAGCATAGTTGGAACAAGAAATAAAGCCCTGCATTGAATGAAGTGCCACGGGAAAGGGAGTAAAAGAATGGTCAAAATGGTATGAAATAAATATGAGAAGGCTTCCTGCAGGAAGAGAAGTGCATTCAAGATAAAGGAAATAGGCAAGAAGACACAGAAAAAGAAATTATTAAATTTTCAGCAATCTTCATTTTTATATCCTTAAAAAGCATAGCAATTTTAGAATAAAAGAAATTCTGGGAGAGGACATTTACCCATTTAGATTCCTCTTTGACTTGATGCAGATGGAAAGTAGGAATGATACAGGTATAGAGTATTGACTCTGAATAGTAGTTTTGTTTATGAATTCTAGAGTGTAAATGAAATCAACATTGACAGTATGTAAGTCTAAACTTATAACATCGGCACACTTTAATCTAAGAAGAATGCTTGAAGTTTGTCTTTTGACTTAAAAGTAATATTGTACTCCTCTCCTTTTTTTAATAGTAACTTCAAAATCTAAAAAAATATTCATGTAGTATATTTTAGAAAAAAAAGAATGGTTATGTCAGGAGCACAAATTGTATCTCACTATAAGGCTCAGATGAGTCCAAAGTGAAGCCATAGGATTAGATAGATCTCCATTACTGAGACACTCGGAAGTAAACTAGCTAAAAATTTACAAGAGTCCAATGAATTTGTAAGGTCTCTTCTCATTTAAATTCCATGAGTCCATGGCTCTAGCTGGGAGCTTTCCATCTGAGTAATCTCCTTTATTCAATGAAGAGTCTTCCTTCAAGGCAATAATTCCTCTTCATTTCAGCAATGAGGTACAGCTGCCAGGGATTCATGGCACTGGCCTAGCAGTTTACAAAAATCTGGCTCTAGAAGCATCTACAATATATCACAGTCTCTGGAATGTGTACTAAACTTAGCTTCCTGGGCCCCACCTCAGGCCTACAGAAGAACAATGCTTGCCAGTAAATCCCAGAAAACTACCTATGTTACAAGCTGTCCCAGGGACTGATACAGCACTGTAATTTGTGAACTGCTGTTCTCATCCTGGGCCATCCTGCTGAAAGGCAGGCCAGGAAGGACTGATGGCGGTTCCGAGTGCAGTCATGCAGTCGTCTGTTCCTCCAGGAATGAGTTAAGCTTGCAAGCATCTCTGATGCTATTTAAGCATCCAGCCACCTCCGGGGACTAAATTTACAGCATGTAAAATCTTCCTTGACCTCTCTTCCTTACAAGAGACGATTTGTAATCTCGTGGACATTATAATTACTAACAGTAATCGTTCTCCAAATTCCTTGTCTTACCAAAGAACATTGAGTGAATAAGGCCTCAGTTATCAGCAGTGTCTTGTCAAGATTTAAATCTATAAATATCTTAGGCTATTTTTCATTTCGATGTGATATTAGAAAAGAACACAGTATTCAGATCATATCTGCAACCTAAACCACAAAACACAAGTTAAGAAATCCAAGGAAATCTACTCACTTATCCCCATTTTACCATAAAAATATTAACTACTTAGTTATATTACCAAACCATAACTGATTTACCATCTGTTCTGTGGTTTATCATGGCATAAGGAAATTGAGGGTCCTAGAATGTCACATATTATTTTTCCATTACAATTTTTTAAGAGCATGCCAAAGATTTAATTATGGCATACTGAAAATATGTAATTAATAGTAAAAATCTGGCTAAACTGGGTTAATTGAGGGAAATCTAGTCCAAATTAATAAAAACATTGAGCATTAATCCTTTTGTAAAATATAATTTTCCATAACATATAGGATATTAAATTTCAAATGTGAAATGCTAATAGTGAGCATGCAGAAAATAAAGAAAAATAATTAATATTACTTAAGTTTTGGAAAATTCATTCTAAACCAGGTCCACACATACATGTTCCTGGGTATGAAAACTCCAGAAAAAAATACATAAAGGTATACATAATAAATTATTACTAAGTCCTGAGAAATTTTAAAAAATGGATTCTCAATAAATTCACGTAATAGAAAATTAGGAACATTATGTAGTCATTAAAAATCATACTTTCAGAGAATAACAAATAACACTGTAGAAGTTAATGAGACAATATTAAGTAGAAATGCAGGACACAAAACCATAGACCCCATGAAAAAATGCATGCATGGAAAAGACCATTAGAAGAAAATTCCTCAAAGTGTATAGTGGTACTACTCTCTACTTGGGGGCAGTACAGGTGGGATTACACAGGATCTGATTTCTCTGATCGTGGCCACTTTCCTGATAGACTCCTGTTCACTTGTACTTTTAAAAGGATTGATTTTTGAAGCCCTTAATTGCACATAATATCCACATGGGTTTTTAATACAATAGGATGATCACTTACGGTGATTTGAACACTCTTTAGACAACCAAAGACACATCTATTTATTAAGCATGTACTGAGCCCTTACTCTTGTAAAGGGCAGAGATAATAAACACCCTGGTGAAGAGCATACAAAGTACTGTATGGGCACAGAGCAGAGCAGTCCATTTTTTTCTCAGATTGGGGGTAAATCAGCTGAATTTTGACATCTGAGTCAGAAGGGCTTTGATTCCACACCCATTAAGTGCGATGCACGTAAGGTATCCTTATGCAATTGCCCAGTAATCTGTGGGATACATGAGAGCAGAAATCAAGAAAGCGTTCTGGGACAAAGGTGAGACATGGAGAGCCCCTGACACATGGGTGATAGTTAAAGCCATGAGAATGCGTGACATCAACGAAAGTGAGCATGAAGAAGGAAGCAGGGATATGATCTGGAAACAGAAAAGGCACAGAGCCCTCAAAAACAACATTAGGTAAGGGAGGTACTAAGTAAAAGGGCTCCACAAATAAAGGCCAAGAAGAAATAGCCAGAGATGTAAAAGAGAAAGCCAAACAGAGCTGATGAGGAAGCCCTGTACGGAGCTTTTAAAGAAAGACAGGGATTGGCAGTACTAGAAGCCCAGTGAGGTGAGACATGAAACTAACTCATCATATTTAGAAGGTTCTTTGGGTAACATTTGCCAGAGCAGCTTCGTGTGTATCTGTGTGTGTGTGTGTGTGTGTGTGTGTGTGTGTGTGTGTGTGTGTACTTGTTGGGGTGGAAAGCTACAGGCTGGGGACACTAAATTTAAAAATAAATGAGACATCCCTCCCGAATTTTTAGCCACCGCATATGCGTGAGGGCCCAGCCTGTTCCACATCTGTGTCCCTCCTACCAGTCTGGATGGTTGTGATTTCTTTAATTCCATAGTTGTCAGACTCCCACTCAAGTCGATTTCTGACAGTTCTGAGTGGTGGTTGTTCTATCTTTTAGTTGTAATTTTGATGTGGTTGTGTGAAGAGGCGAGCCATGTCTGCCTATGCCGCCATCGTGACCAGAAGTCCCACATCTTATGATTTTAATTGTTTCAGGGTAAGTGTTTTTCTTGGCTTAAGTCTCCACTTACCCTCTCATCATTCTTTGAGTATGAATTTCGGAAGCTATTCAAAGCTTCCTTGGCCAAGTCATACCCTCCTAAGACAGTCATACCCTCTCCTGTTCAGCTGGCATATGACTAAAACTATGTCTAACAAGTTTATTGAGATGGATGGAAATGGAAAAAGTATAAATTCAGTTGGTATTTGAAGTGGGAAAGTAAAGCATGAGTAGGCTTTAGTGTATTTTTAATGTACTTCATATTTCCCAAACTGTAATTTTAATGAATCATCACAAAGTATTGTGTCTGTACATACTATTCAGGGACTCTCAGGAAAAGTACAGTCATCACTGGTCTCTCAAGAAAACAGGTACAAGGTTTTATGGTACCCCTTCTCTGAGCACCGAAGTACTCCTCACCATCAGCACTGTCTGGTGTCACTCTTCTAGAGCTTATCAGCAACACCCGAAGAGTGGACCCCGCCAGCCCTTTCAAAGCACTTGGCACTTTTCTTTAAGTCTACCAAAACTGCACTATTTTTTTTGCTTGCTTGTGAATATAATGAAATGAAAACAACTTGTCCAATTAGGCACTACTGTCTTTTATGGCTCAAGTCAGTGGTGCTCAACAAGGGGCAATTCTGCTCCCCAGGGACATTTTTGCTTATCACAACTCAGGGTTGGGGGTGGAGGAGTGTTGTTACCAGCATCAAGTTGATAGGGGTCGTGGATATTACGGAACATCCCACAGTGCACAGGATAGCCCCTCACGCGGATTTGTCTAGTTGAAACATCAGTGGTGCTAAGGCTGAAACACCTTGTGCTAATTGATAGAACATGTCCAGCTTTCAGAGAACCCTGCTCATCTTTGAGTGCCAGCTAAGCTACCACCCTTCCCATGAGGCTTTCTCAGATCAACCCACAAAGGCATCCTCACAGGTTAAACTCTCCGCAATTTAGGTTTCATTGGATGGTGACCCATCTCAAAGATTCTTTGAGGAATCCCATATTCACACTCACTGCTGATACT